GCGGGGGCGCGGCCTCAGCACTCGGTTTTGCCCGGGGCGCTACAGGGGCTCCCCGGGGGTACAGGTTAGAAATGCAGCCGTTGGAGTGGAAAGCAGAGGAGGGCTCTTTTCATTTCTTAGTGGAGAAGGTGTTAAATAGAATACAAAAATCCGTTAATTTAAGCAATATTTCTTGAGTGCAGGCGAGGGCAGCCGTGTTAACCCGGTAAAGCGCTGCATGCACCAGTGTCCCCTGTGGAGGGCTGAGGACAGAAACGTACATATGCCCATTTGTATGCCCATGTGTACGGTGGGAAGCGCTGTCGCAAGGCCGGGTGCGGGCCCCTTCCTGTAGGCCTGGGGGTGGGGGGAAGGCGGAGGAGAGAATTCCAGGCCTCGGACCAGCCCCGAGGCGAGGCGGGAGAGGCCTGGGTACTGTGACCCGGAAGAAAGTTTAGGCGAAGGTAGGGACAGGGTCTCTCCTAGCAGTGACACAGAGACCGCTGCAGGGTTGCTCAGGAGAGGGTGGGTCCTGAACTGGCCTTGAGAAGAATCGCTGTTAGCGGGGAGGGGCGGTCGCGTCAGTAGAAGGTCCAATTAGGTCACTGCGGCCGCAGGGTGAACGACAACGCCTGTGGAAAATGTGACGACATACAAATTTAAAAGGTATGCGTGTCAAACAAAGGGGAAAGACTAGGGGAAACTTTTGTTCTCGACCACATGCCACACGGAAGATTGAATTCCTTAGCACAGTTATATTCTGCAAACGAAAACAAGACCAACAGACCAGCAGAAAGTGGGGCAAAGGGTATAAACATGGTTCAGGGGAAAGCGAGTCAATGCTTTCAGCTGGATGGAAGGAGGGCCGCAGGTGAATGCCATGCACGGACCAAACATGCGCCCCGGGTGAGGTGCTATCCGCCTGAGCTTCTGTGCTTTCTCAGTGAGAATGTCCAGCATAAACTTCAAAAATTAACGGGCCTACCAGAACAAAAACGGCAAAAAGAAAGGATGAAAGGAAAGAAAGAACGAAGGAAGGAAGAAAGGAAGGAAGGAAGGAAGGAAGGAAGGAAGGGAGGAAAGAAAAGAAAGAAATCCCATATAATAGAAATAGACTCATGGGTGGCCCCGATATTGGAGAAATCGATCAATTTTTAAAAACAGTACCTGCTGTATTCAAGAAAATTATCGATGAGGAGACCTGGAATCTATTAAAAAGACTCAAATGGGAGAAAGAGCATCGACCTTACATGGAGCCTTCCAGATAGTGAGGAAGGAACTCTCCCCGCCTTGTCCTCAAGGGCCAGCATATCCTCGGCAAAGATGACAAGAAAGAAAAATTACCGGCTAGTCCTTGTCACGACCGTACTTTAAAATTCCAAGCATGATCGCAGCCAATCAAACCCAGCGGTAGAGAACGTGTCGCTACCGAGTTAGGTTTATTCCGGACAAGGCCGGTTTAACATTTCAACCAAACCATGTAATTCATGTTAATAACATGAAGGAGAACTTAAAAAATGACAATCTCAGTAGGTGGAGAAGCATCATCGATAAAATCCAACGCACGCTTGTGATAAAATACTTAGGAAACTGAATATACAAGTGCCGACCCGGGACCAGTCCACAGGACGACCCTCGCTTCCAACACTCCTTACACGCTTGGGGGTCACCAAGGCCACCCTCAGCTTCATTAATTCACTAGAAGGGCTCACAAAACTTGCTGAAAGCGCTCACCCCCACGGTTATGGTTTATTACCCAGAAAGTAGAGAGCTTAAAATCAGCCAGGGGAAGGGGAGCATGGGGCAGGGTCCAGGCGGGTTCTATGCACGGGGCTTCCACACCATTGGCCCAAGGCCCCTGCCCTAAATCACTCTATGGTATGGCCCTGATCCCCTGGCAAACCGACACCACAAGCAGGCAGGACATCCCAAGGGTTTTGAGATCACCTCCCAGGTCGCCAGGGCAAAGACCAGACTGTCCTTGGCCATGGCCCCCTTCTTCCCTGCACAAGGAGGGGACTCCCTTTAGCTGAATAACATGTATTTACAAAAAAAAACTGTAGGAAATAATATGTGGACGAAAAAGGGGCCACACAGTAAACCTGACAAGCTCGGGGGAGGCCGGCGTGGCGGCCTTGCGAACTCAGAGACAGGGAGTCACCACGCAGGGTGGTCTGAACGTAAAAATTCCTAACTCGGAGCGGGTCATGGCCGGCAGTCACGTCCTAGGCCTGCAGCCTCCTTGGCGAAGGTCAGCGTTACCTTAAGAGAGCCTGGCTATCGTCTTTGTGCATCTGAGATCACATACCTTAGAAATGTCAGGCGAGTGCCTTGTCCAGCCCCCTCGGGGCACGCCCGCCCCAGACCGCAGCCCCCCCCCCCCCTCC